GAGAACCTGCCCGACCACGAGCGCGGAGTCTGTTTGAGCTCGAATGTATTCAGCCCCCAAGTCTCGAGCACACTGTAAGCCATTAATGAAGGCATCGTACTCGGCTTCATTGTTGGTTGGATGGAACTGATACATGAGGGCGAAGTAGACTTTGAATCCCTCCGGGCTTGTGACCACCACCCCTCCTCATGCTCCCTTCTTGCTACTTGACCCATCAGTAGCCAACGACCACCACTCAGCCTCGGGATCTGCAACCTCGGGGGGTCGGGTATCCCGGGCGGTGCACTCGACCAAGAAATCAGCAAGGGCTTGACCTTTGACGGCTGGTCTCGGTCGGTATTCGATCGCGTACTGGGTCAGCATTAACGCCCACTTGACTAGGCGACCGGATGATGAAGCAGTTCGGAGGACTGGCCCGATCGGCTGATCGGTCAACACGTGAATTGCTCGACCCTGGAAGTAGGGAGCTAACTTCTTCGCGGCAATATACAAGGCGTAGACGACCTTCTCTAACCGGGAGTACCGGAGCTCGGGACCATGTAGCGCGTGGCTTACATAGTACACCGGTCGCTGGACCCCTTCCGGATCGGTTCGGCACAACACTGCGCTTACTGCACGATCGGAAACGGCAAGGTACACGTCTAGCTCTTCCCCGAGCTCGGGCTTTGAGAGCACGATTGGTGACATGAGATATTCCTTCAGCTCATCAAAAGCCGCTCGGCAGTCTTCGTCCTAGACGAACCCATTAACTTTACACAATACCTTGAAGAAAGGTAAGGCGCGCTCGGCTAACTTAGAGAGGAACCGGCTTAGAGCTGCCAACCGACCAGTCAATGGCTGGACTTCCCGAACGGTAGAAGGTGGCTGCATGTCCAGAATCGCTTTCACTTTGGCCGGGTTGGGCTCGATTCCCCTCTTGGTCATCATGTAGCCGAGGAACTTGCCGGTCTGAACCGCAAATGTGCACTTGGTCGGGTTCAGCCGCAGCTGGTACTTCCTCATGATCTGGAAGCACTCCCGGAGATCCCGAGTGTGGTCGGATCGGTCCCGACTCTTGACCAGCATATCATCAATGTAAGCTTCCATCGTTCAACCTAGCAGATCGGCGAAGAGCATATTAACCATCCTCTGATAAGTCGCTCCCGCGTTGCGAAGGCCGAACGGCATCACTCGGTAGCAATACAGCCCGTCCGGGGTCACGAAGGCTGTCTTGCTCTCATCTTCATGGTGCATCATTATCTGATGATATCCTTTGAATGCATCCATGAAGCTCATCAACTCGGCCCCGGCCATCTCGTCGACCATCTGATGGATACTCGGTAGAGGATACGGGTCGAGCGGACAGGCCTTGTTGAGGTCGGTGAAGTCAATGCACATCCTCCAAGCTGGGGGCTTCGGAACAAGGACAATGTTGGCCACCCACTCGGGATAGATCACCGGTCGGATGTGCTCGATCGCCGCCATCTTTTTGACTTCTTCTCTGACAAACTCACGACGATCGGAAGAAAGATGCCGAGTCTTCTGTACGACCGGCTTCGCTGCGGGATCGACGGCTAGCTTGTGACAAATTACCGATTGATCGATCCCGGGCATGTCTTCGGGCCCCCATGCAAAGATATCGGCATACTCTCGGTGTATGGCCAAGATTTCCGTTCGGAGTTCGGGGGTGAGGGCCCGGCCAATTTTGATCTTCCTGTCCGGTCTGTCCTCGGACAGGGGAACTTCCTCTATTTCCTCGGAAGGTTCGGGTTGTTCCTTCCGATCTTTAGCCTCCTCCTTGGCTATAGTGTTCACCCGGGAAGACTGACCGGAGTCACGTCTGTTAACCGCTCGGGTGTAACACTTTCGGGCGGATTGGACGTCGCCACGGACTACACCGACCCCATTGGGGGTGGGGAATTTCATGCAGAGGTGAGGCATCGAAATTATCCCACCGATCTTCATTATTGTGGGTCGGCCCAAGATAATGTTGTGGACGTAATGGAGGTTGACCACAACGAACTCTAGCTCCGTCTTGATCGACTTCGGGGATGTGCCGATCTCGACTGGGAGCATTATCTTCCCTTCGGGGTAAATGAGCGCCCCGGTAAATCCCGACAGTGGTACACCGACCGGAGTCAGCTCCTTCCTATCAAGTCCAAGTTTCTCAAATACGTCCAAATAAAGGACATTCACACTGCTACCAGTGTCCACCATAACCCTCTGGACATCCGTCCCTTTAACATCAATCGTGACCACGAGCGCTTCCATGCCATGGTCACCGCTGCTCGGTTGATCTTCGAGGGTGAAGGTTATGGGCTCCATCTTCTGCCTCTTCCCGGTGTCCCGGGAATCCACTATGGCGACCGGGCAGTTGCCCCTCGACTGGGAAGCATTATCCAATCCACCAAAAATGATGTGGATGGTCGGCTTTCCTGCTGGTCGGCTGCTAGATGGAGGGTCAGAGTCCCGTCGGTCATCGCGACGATCGTCTCTTCGATCGTCTCTTCGGTCCTGACCTGACCGATCGGAACGTCCATCACGATCAGAACGATCGGAGCGGTGATGGGAACGCCGGTGATCTCTCCGATCGGTGTTCCTCTTGGTGTCTTCTCTCTTCCCCACACACTTGTCCAACTTCCCCAGATTAAGCAAATCCTCCAAGAGTTGGCACAAGTGGGTACACTCCTCAGTGTCATGCCCGGCACATCGGTGGTAAGCACAATGCTTACTCTTGTCGGGGCCGTCTCGATCGGGATGGGGTAGTTTGATGAGATTGCAGGACTGAGCGTACTGCATGGCCTCCGCTGCGGATCGGTTCAGGGTCGTAAACTCACCAGGCCTGGTGCGGGATCAGGGATGGTCATCACTCGATCGGTGTTCCGCCCGGCCGGCCGGTTTACGGGACGAAGACCCGACCTCCTGCGAGCGCTTTACGGCATTCGCCTCGCCGGCGTTGGCATAGTCTGTGACCCTTCGAAGGGCCTCCTCATAAGTGGCCGGGGGGTGTAGAATGAAATCCTGGTACAAGTAACCCGCCCGGAGGGAGATGTGAAGCATGTAGGTGGTGGTCGCATCATCCATGGGCTCAACCTCCCCGACCGCCGCCTTCCATTTGACAAGGAAGTCGGTCAAGCTCTCCCCTTCAAGCTGCTTGGCCTTCTCCAAGTACATATAGGACTTCTTCACCACCTTGGAGGTGATGAATTTCCTCACGAACTTGATCGCCAAGGCATCAAAATTGTCGATTGAGCCCGGCTACAAAGTTCGGAACCATTCCGCCGCTCGACCGGTAAGCGTGGAATAAAAAGCCCTACACATTACGGCGTCTGATACGCCCTTCAGCATCATATTGCCGTAGAAATCATTGACATGGACCTCAGCGTCCGTACGGCCATCGTAACTCTTCTCCCCGGAGACCTTTAAGTCAAGCGGGTAAGGCTGAGCCATCACTACCGCCGTAAAGGGCGTCCTAAGCAAGGTCGATTGGTCGACCGGGGGTGTTGCAAGATGCGCGCTCCTGAATTGCGCAAACTCCGCCTGGAGGTTGTAGAGCAATCCTCGGGTCTCGTTGAGCTCGGTGGCTTGGGCAGCTTGGGCTGCGTCCCGAGCGCGTCGTCGTCGATGAGATCTCGACCCGCTATGCCCGGATGAAGCCTCCTGGCTGGCTTCCTGCATCTGTACATCTTCCGGCTCGCGGTTCGGGTCTTGGGGCCCCAAACGTTGCCGCATCGCCGGTCGAAGACGATCAAAAGCTGCCGCTCGGGCAACTTCTTTGGGGTCCTCCGCCTGAGTGGGAACCTCCGCTGCTTGCTAGGCCTGCCGTGGTGCCTCCATCGCATCAGCACCCCCGACCCCAACCGCGAACGAGCCGAGCGTCGAGCCCGGGAAGCGGGCTGATGCTGCGGCTCTACTTGTGCGACCGGGTAAACTGGAGGGGCGGCGGCTGGAGCCGTGTACGCAGGCGTATAAGGTGGATAACCAACCGGGGGCGTGTAATACATCGGTTGGCCTGGCCAATACCCGTACGGCTGAGGTGGGACCGGGTATGGATACTGGCCGGGATACATCATCGGCTGTTGTGGATATGGCTGACCGGGTGTTGGGTACCCCGGTTGAATGTAGTTCACCGGCTGTTGGGCGGCCGGGTATGTGTTGGATGGATGTGGTGGTGAGAGATTGAGGTTGAGGCCCATCGTCTGACCTTGTTGTTGTGTTGCCTGGTGGTCGGATGAGCTCGCTGCATCCGCCTGGTCGTCGGCAAAGAGGTTTTGTGCCCACGGATACATTGTTGATGAAGGACCGGGTGCTCGTCAAGACGTTTGCTTTCTCGCACGGGTCCCCACAGACGGCGCCAAAATGATATTGCTAATTGCCACGTACGCAGTAATTAAATAAATACGAGACCAATTAAAGCAAATAAATGACTTTTATTGATCACGGTGAAGGCCCTAAGTACAATCTACTTGGTTGCTCTGAGTGCCGACTGACTGCGGTCGGGATTCTCTAACAACAACCTATCGATCGTCCAAAAGTCCCCCACACTGTAGCTATCGCAGATATTTATAGCCGCGGCGCCGGAGACACGAATCCGGCCGTTCGGCATGCTTCCCACGTAGCCACCACGTGTCGCCGTCCCGGGTGCCCTGCCTGTCAACGCGTGGAGCCGCCACGTGTCTCTTGTCAGCTCTCTCGCCAAAGGGCTACCACTCGGTGGTCGACACTCCCGCTCGGACAACTCCCGGTCGGACCCCGACCGGGTTCTTCACAAGAAGCCCGACCTGTTACCTGCAAAGACAAGAAGACAAAAACAAAGGCACACCAACCGGGGTAAAATTATGTCGGTCGGGATATTCCCTACCAAAACATATTGAAAAAGTATAGAATAGATACCTTCTAAAGAATTATGAGTGTTTAAAAAAAATTATTTAATTTAATATTCTTATATAAAATATCATTAAAATAATCTTTACTTTTATTTTTATTTATATTTATTTTTTTTGACTCATGTGTAAGACCAAAACCTCCCCAAAACCCCATCTCTTTCTGAAGCCTAAACCCTAGAGGAAGCCCTCCAGGACTAGCAACTCTCTCCAATGGCGTCTCGCTGCCGCACCCTGTCAAGACCAGCCTTTAACCTAATCAGATCTACAGTCTCCAAACCCACACTAAAGCCCAATTTTTCCCTTCAGAGTACTAGCTCCCTTCCGACGCTTCCTAGGTAAGTCACAAGTGCTAACCCATTTTTTATTGCTGAATCCAAGTTTTGATTTTTAACCTTTGTTTTTGAAATTCAGGCCATTGCCTCAAATGGGTGCTCTTCAATCCCTGCTACCGCTCTACTCCGCCGTCTCTTCTGCCCGCCTCACCTCTTGCCTCGGCCTCGACTCTAAGTGCTCCCGCTCGTTGTCTCAGGGTATGATCTGCAGTGCCAATCCAGGAGTTTGATACCTATTTTGTAATGTATCTATCTGTAAGCAAATCTTCTTCACTATATTGGGTCTTGTATGCAAGTCTTTTTTTGACATTTGGTTGAAGAACTTCAATTTTTTGTCCTCTAATCTCTATGAAATTTCTTTTGAACAAATAAGTTGATATTTTTGACAGTATGAATGCTTTTTGTTCAAATGAATTTAGACATAATATCTGTTCAACTTTTTTGCACTGAATATGGAGTAAATTTAACAGAAGACACCAGTATGTTGATAACATTTTAGAGTACTATTGCTTTTGTGAAACCAGTTAAGACACTTATAGCTCCTAATGCTTAAGCTTGGAATTATGATGTGCTGTATTAGGTACATTTACAGTAATAAGAAGCTGATGATGGGGTCTAGTCTTTGTTTGATAATGCGTGTAGAATCAGCTCTAGTAACATTTCTGAGGAAGAATTAATGCCCATTTTTTTAGGCATGCTCTTCTAGTTTTGTTAGATTTCAGAAATCATTACCAAATCAAGTTTGTGCTTGAAAGAAAAAGTATGATTGTGTCCTTGCTGAGATTTTTAGTCAATCAGAAGATCATTTCACCTTGCAGTTGGTTTTTAATCTTCACACATTACTATGGTGGCTCCACCATTGGTAGATTTCTAATTTTATGAAATATATTTTTGTTCTCTGGGGCTAAAAAATTGTTGATGCAATGTAACAAGTTGTGTCTCTTTCAAGTACTGGTTATTCTGCTGGGATGGATTGATAAACATTAAACAATAGAGTCAAATATTTAGATGACATGAAGACCAGTCAATATAGTGATTCTGCTAGAGATGGATTGATGAATGAGAGTCAAATATTTGGATGAGACGAGAACCATTTAGTGTTTCTGCTAACCAGGAGAATTTGGTTTTTGAAATTTAATGAAATTTATGGTACTAGAAGTAGGATATAAGCGTGAAAAGATTAATGGAAAACAAAGTGAAACATATCTGGATGGGGTCAATAGGAATTGTGGACATGCCATTGGCCCCTTGACTGAAAGTGCCTAGGTAACCTGCAGACATTGCCATTTTATGTACCAAAAACTACCATGATTCTAAGTAATCTCCTATGTACAAGGGAAACATCTGCTTGTAATATATTATGTGGACATACCATTAAGCCACAAAACCTATAGGAGTACTAATTTCCTTTTTCTAAGGCTGGTGCAACCCCGACAGGCCGACAATTCTCATTGTGGTAACTGACACTACTAGTCAAATTTAGGTTCCAAGTTTTCCCAATCAAGCAAATAGATTTTACTTCTGAAGCTCTACAATACTTGTTGAAGCAACTCAGAAGGGGTAGAATCCAAGACACCACTAGAAAGAAGACCTTCATAAGTAATGAAATCTACAAGTTGGTTTGAAGTCTCAAAGGTTCAAGAGAAAACCTCTCTAGGGTTTTATTTTTTTTCAATATCTCATAATGTCAAAGTTCTTTTTACAAGCAGAAGAATAGGGCTATTTAAAGACCCTTAAAGTACAAGTAAAAGTAGCACAAGGTGTTAGTGAATAAAGCATGAAATAGTAAAAACAAAGTTGAGCAGAAGATAAAACATGGCTAGAAGACTTGGGAAAGGAACCTTAAAACTTCCATTGAATAGAGTCCAACAAGGTTTGTAAGCTTAAAGTTTCCATTGAAACTTTTGAAGTTAGAATAGGGTGTATTTAAGAAACTTTAAAGGTTATGTCCAAAACATTAAAGATTCCGCTATAATATTGTGTTTTCCGAGGAAGATTGTTTGTTGAGGAAGATTACAGAGCTTTAAGTTTTTGAAACACCTCACAGGTTGCATTGTGTCTCACTGCTTGTCCTGCTCGGTCCAAATTGAATCAAATTCAGGTCCTTCCTTTCACCCAGACTCGTGCACCTTTGATGGCCTCACGAGTTCAACAGGGTTCAAAACTTTAAAGGTTCTGTTTTGAAACTTGAAAGTCTTAGCTGAAACTTTTGAAGCTAAACCAGGGTGTATTTATGTCCCTATAAGATTGTTGTTGAGGAAGGTTACAGAGTTTTAAGTTTTTGAAACACCCTGCGGGCTGCCTTGCATCTCATTGCTAGTCCTACTCAATCCAATTTGCATCGAATTCATGTCCTTCCTTTCACTCAGACTTGGTGCAACTTTGACGGCCTCACAAATCACTCTTAGCATGGTAGTTGCTATCCTTTTAGCTCTAGCTCTTGTCACGGGACAGTCAGGAACTTGTAATTCATCAGCTGGCGAAGCTCTTAGAATCTTAGATCCTTGTTCACATCAAAGGTATTCCTCCTTAATTCTCTGGAAAATCTTTGTTTTGAACACAATTTGGAAAGAAGTGTAAAATACATCGTAGCATTGGGATATTAGTGGTTTTTGAAACCCAAGGCATCCATGGAATAGGAATAGTTTGTAGCAAAATAAATAGTTTTGAGTAAGTTTCATTATCATGTTTATGCTGGTAAAGGTCAATAAGTAGTAAGTAACTTATAGCTCCCCTAATTTTCTATAGTTGAGTTAATTGAGAATTCTTCACCAATGATGTATATATTGAATTTTGTAATGAAATTCTGTCCCTAGACACAATGTCCCTATGGATTGTGTGTTCACTTATCCATTGAGTTTATTTGTCTGTCGGTATTTTTTTTCTGTTTCTATAGATTTTTCTGCAACTATACTAAAATTTCTTTTCAGCTTACAATTCTAGATCAGACATTTTTTTTTATGTTGTACTTTTCAATTGATCTGTACCAGAGAAAGTTCTGGCTAGCAAAACTGGCACTCTTGAAAACCCATTAGTTGAGTTTGTGGTTCTGCCCCTTGCTCTATTCCTTCATCTGTTAGGAATGATGGGACTGCAAATGTCATTAATACTATGGAAAATCCTTTATAGGAATAAAGATCAAATGCTAAAGTCAAATACTCATACATCAAAGGTTTAGAAGACATACAACTGCCTTCTATATACCTACTTTCTTTAGTTTAGCTACAGCTTGAAACAGCTTCAAGTAGCCTAATAAGGGGAATTAGAAGTTCAAGCCAATTCCTAACTAGTAGGTATTTATTGCCTGGTTTCTTTGCCTTGGCGTTTACTGACAATTACTTCCATTTAAGGTGATCAGCCCTAATATGGACAAGTGCTTACACTTTCTACTTCAATTACAGCATCCAAGCCAGAGTTCACTTTTGTTTAAGCCTCCCCTATATTACAGTTATGTTCTTGGTTGGCCTAACATATTCTTAGATTGAGCAACACGAAGAGTAGGAAGAAATGAAGTTGTTCCGCTTAGCAGGTAAAAAGAATATTGCAAGACTGAAATGCAATAATGTACGCTGAAGATTTGTCAGCTTTTCAGCCAATACCCTCTGGTGATCTACCATGTCTTAAAAACATTAGTCCTTTATTCGTTGCTTATATCTCATGTGGGTTCTGGAATAAGAGTTAAAAGAAGAAGAAGAATAGAAATAGATGCAGTTTATTTAGTACAACCTGACCCAATATTGCCTAAACTATATTCTGTTGGTTATTGATTTCTAGAAGAATTAAAATTTCTGATGTTGGTTGGATATCACTTTGGTGGATTTGTTGCTTATGCAGTACCTTTTTCTTTTTCTTTACAGAATTAGGTCTTTCTGTGCCTCGATAAGAGACTTACGCCAAAGATTGAAGATGTGGTTTGACATGGCATCTTATATTATAACATGAATTTGGCGTCATATGTTTCTCATACCTCCTGTTTGAAAGTTCTGTATACTATAAACGTTGATGCTACTACTTTTAGAGTCTTCCAATTTATGCTACTATTTTCTTACATTTGCTGATTTGCATGACATCTCTCCTTCCAAATCTCCAATTGATTTGTTGCGCTGCTAATAATGGAGTACTGAAATTCATTGAATAGCAGCAAAAACGTTACTCCATACTTGTTTACCCCGTGTCTTGATTTGCTTAGATTATGTATGCGGGAGGCTAATGAGTTGGAATATGTCTTTTCCTGAGAAGATAATATTGATGCTTTATCTTTAGAACAAAGAAGAACCGAGATAAGAAATGCATATCTGTGCAATGCTTCATCCTTGTCACAGTTAGATGGATGGTGATAAAAGGGTTTGGTTTATGGACATGGTGACCCTACTAGAGACTCTTTGAAGGTGCTGAATAGTGAATAATAATGTTTGGTAATTATTTTGATTTTTGATTAGTTTGTGGGAATGTGAAGTGCATGTGAGGAAGTGGGATGGTTGATGATGTAGTGTCTCCATGTCTCCTATCCTTTCCAAAGGCTTCTTGGTCCCTGCATTCTTGTCTCCATGGTCTATCAATATCCTTTAGGATTTTCTACTGTCATTTCACCAATACTCTGATGAGATTGAAAACCGATGAGGGTATCAAGTTTTATTACTGCATTTACTGTGTGGTCGAGAATTTGAACTCGTGTGTATGCAGCAACGCTTTTGAAAGATTTGTGTGACTTGGTCGAGATTTTACTTAAAGAGGTCATATGGTAGAGTGGGTAGAGCTCCATCACCAGTAGTGTTATGGGGATCAATGTCCTTTAGGATATTTGACTGTCATTTCACCAATACTCTGATGAGATTGAAAACCGAGCAGGGTATCTTAAGTTTTATTGTTGCATTTACTGTGTGGTCGAGAATTTGAACTCATGTGTATGCAACAACGCTTTTGAAAGATTTGTCTGATTTGATAGAGATTCTAGTTAAAGAGGTCATATGGTAGAGTGGGTAGGGATGGGGATAAATTTGCATTATCTTCTTAAGATTTACCATTGTGACTATTGTGCCTTGAATAATCTTTTGGCATATTCCTGCCAGAGAGCCATAAGCCATCTGCTCCCCACTATAAAGCAAACCTTGAAGAAAAATTAAAGTATTGGTGATGTTTAAATCTCTTTATATTTACTCTAGTATGACATTGTATGTATTTGACTATAAAGTGAATTTCAATATTTAACTTAAAGTGAACTTAACCAATAATTAATAGAGGTAAATAAATAAAAAGAAAATAAAAACTTTTTTATTAGCTAGTTTTATCTTCCTTTTTTTTTTTTTTTAAATTGTGTATTTAAATTAGTTGTAGGTATTCCTTGTTATTTTTGACTTTATGATTGCCTCGGGGCATAGCGCAGTGGTGAAAGTGTGGCTGTGGTGTTGGCCGTCAAATGCTCAAGTTCAAACCCTACAATAGGTAAGATATCTCCAACCCAAAATAACAAATTTTACCCCAAAAAGAATATTCTTACATCAAATTTTTTTAATCTCCAATCCATTTACCCCAAATCTTATTCCTACACTAAAATAATTTATAATTTATATTCCTACACTAAAATAATTTATATTTTCATAAATTAAAAATTTATATTTATAATTTTATTATTTTAATATAACATATAGTTGTAATTTAATAAATTCAACTTTAATTATATTTTATGTAATTTTATTTTTAATTAAATTATATTCAATATTAGTCTTGTTTGAATCATCTTGGTGAGATCTTTCAAATAATATTTTTTTTTAATAATATACAATTTATGTTTAAATATTTAACAAAATATACAAATACATTAAAACTAAGCTAAGGACAAAAGGAATTACAAATAAAAGTTGGGGTAAAGTGGGAATAAAAACCACACCAAATTTTGGTGCGGATGAACAGTGCAGGGCCAAATATGGCGCTGCACTGTTCACCTTGTGCCAAAAAAATGGTGATATGGCGAGAAGGTTGGAGCAGTTTTACGCCAAATCTTTTGCCGCTTTGCCATTTTGCCGAGAAGGTTGGAGATGGCCTAAGCAAGTACTCACGGCGTTACTGTACATCCCACGATTTACCTACTCTCACAAGCTTCTTAGAACAAGGAATGTGAGGGGTCTTTAGATTTAGAGTTTAAACTTATATTTAAGTTTATGATATCATAAAAGTTTTCGATAGTTATTATTTTTACTTTAAAATTGATTATATTGAAAAAGATATATTACTACCAAATTTGTAAAGAAGATTGGATAGGGATGGGGTGTAATTAATATGCACATAGAAAAGAGGTTGAAGAGGGCAGGTGTAGGTCGTTATTGGAGACAAAGTGACAAACAATTCATAAGGAACATGCAAATATTCCCCATGCATGGTAACCCATTCACTTCAATTAAATGAGGGGTATATTGGTACAATTACAATTTTTTGAATTAACAAATATAATCTCTTCACTCTGCATTTAACATATTAGACTCACAGATAAGAATAATGTTACAATCTATTCTTTTATTTCCTTGAAATCTTTCCCTCTTAATGTTGTATTATCTAATTAGACAACTAAGAGTGTGTTTGGTTTGCACATGGAAATCGGAATCAAAGTGGGAATCAAATACTTGGTAATGGCAATGAGTTTGTTTGGTAGTAAAGTAGAATTAGAATGATTACCAATATTGATATTTGGTTATGTATGACCTTATAATGGGAATAAAAGTTTTAATAATACAAAAAGATCAAGCAATTGATCCTAATATAATGACATCCAAAGTACCAACATGAACAAAAAATCAAAACAAAAATTTAAAAGCACTAATCCAAGCATAAAAATCAAATTACCAATATAAGATGAAATGATACCTCTTTTTAATTAGGGAATGAGGTTATTAGTTGAAGGAATAATCAAATTTCATAGTTGTGTTCTAAAAAATTATCAACCAAACAATAACTATGATTTTGGTTCTCATTCATAATATATAAACTCATGAACCAAACACACCCTAAATTCATGTTTTTTAATTAGTGACGAGGTCAGTCAATTCATTGACACCCAATCAATGGAATTGAAGCACCATCAGGAGAGGAAATTGATTTTCCCACAAATAATTAAATTTTTGTAAATGTATTGAATGAGTATTGAATTTTTTTAACTTCAAAGATCAAGGTTGCCTCCATAGAATTAACTACATAAATAAATCAAATCTTTTGCAAAATAAATTTTTTAGATCAATTAAAATTTTCAACTTTTGCAATTTATACCCACATTATTTATTTATTTATTCATTTTGTTGTTGCAATTTAGCCTATTCTTACTTTTAAATTTTCTTTTTTAATGAAATGAATTTTAAAAAATCAAAACTCAATCTTTTTCACTTTCCATAAAATATAAATAACAAAACGTTAGAGGTGGGGATTTTCTAAACTATCTCCTCTGTCTCGAAAATATTGTCTTCTTAGGCTAGCTAGATAAACAAATTTAGAAGGGTATATTTAATGTATTGACTAAGTGATATGGAGTAAATTTTTATTCTTGTCCCAAATAAATGAATTGTAAAATTATTTTTCCTAATTTTGGGAATATAATTATAAAATGTAAAATTTATGGAGAGACAAGTATTTAGTATATCGTGCACTGATTTTAGAGTTAATAAATTATTGGGATTTGGGAGTAACGTTGAAGAATCATATATAAACTTAAAATAATGACACGAAAAGAAGAAAAACGTAAAATTATGACATTTTGAAAATTTTTATAATATGTTGAGTACAGTAGAAGGAAGACATTGAAGTTTGGTAGGGTTTTAAGGTGTTCCATCCATGTGTTGCACTACACACGTGCATGCATGCCTCTTCATCCCATCATCTTTATGGACGGTGGGGAGTCTTACAATTTTTATCCTTAATTAATTAATTAATTTCCATACATCGCACGTTACTTAATTTTTCTTTTTTAAAAACAGTGCACTAGTAGTGATTACAAAGATAGTATTACGGTGAGCTATGGACAATCTAAGTTAATTTATTAATTATAAGGTGAGATTTACCGAGTGCACATCAATCAAATTTTAATGTAAATCATGGTCTATATAACAATGTGGATCATGAAGGAGGTATCGTTCTAATTACATTTCAGTTTCATTTAACAATATTATTCTTTTTCTTTAGTTTCATTTTTCAGACACACTAGTTTCATTATAGCAATACAAAGTATCTTTTTAATTCTACTACAGTTTCATTTGACAATATACATTGTTGCATGAACTATATTTTTTAGTTTCATTTTTCACATAGTTTAATTATAGTAATGCTGAAGTATTATTTTAATTACATTTCAAGTTCATTTGACAATATATGTTATTGTATGACTCTGAATTTTAGTTTCATTTTTCACACACACTAGTTTCGTTATAGAAGTGATGGATATATTATAAATCGACCCGAACCGACCCGAGAGCACGGAGCAAGAATGGGGCCCCGGGGCGGTGCCACGTACCCGCCCCGGTGCGAGGCCTCGGCGCGAGGACTCGGCACGAGGTCGACTGGGGGTCGGCCGAAGCTTGGCAGGAGCTCGGTAGCTGACCTCAGCCGCATTGCCCGGTCTCCGGAACGGGCGCGGTCAAAGCGGGGATAATTGCTTCCCCCTATTCAGGAGGACAGTTAGGAGGTCGGGGCTTGTATAAAAAGCCCTCCCTTTGTCCAATTAAGACACATTCTATCATTCTTACATACTTTGTCCTAGAAAATCATTGTAATAGCCTATTTACGTCATATAATACGATATACGGTCTCCACGGCCTTTACGACATCGTTTCGTCTATTTATTCCCTTACTATTTACGTTCTTATCCGGGTTTAATAATTCGGGCCACCTCGGATTAATTAAATCCATCAAGCAACACTAAAGTATCATTTTAATTATACTACGGTTTCATTTGACAATATACATTATTGAATGAGCTCTATTTTTTTAGTTTCATTTTCTCCACACACTAGTTTCATTATAGCAACACTAAATTATCATTTTAATTCTACTGCAATGTCATTTGACGACCATAGTCCACACAACGCTATGTGAACCATGGTCGACTGTATAACAACTGCACACACCATTGG